GTGTGACTGTGTGATGTGACTGTGTGATGTGACTGTCATGTGACTGTCACATCACACAGTCACATCACACAGTCACACCACACAGTCACATCACGGTCACTTCACACAGCCACATCACATAATCACATGACAGTCACATCACACAGTCACATCACACAGTCACATCACACGGTCACATCACAGTCACATCACACAGTCACATCACATAGTCACATCACAGTCACATCACACAGTCACATCACAGCCACATCACACAGTCACATCACAGTCACATCACACAGTCACATCACAGTCATCACACAGCTACATCACAAAGTCACATCACACATCACACAGCCACATCACAGTCACATCACACAATCACATCACACAGTCACATCACAGCCTGGTCCACATCCTTCCCAGCTCAGACGATGTCCCTGAATTGTCTTGCAACCTCTGTGAATACTTCCTGTAAGACATCCTCCTCATTCACACCAAAGTGAGCCCCTTAAAATGGAAACATCATCTTATCCTCTTTTCAACAGCTCTATGACCAGAAGCCACTTGTTCTCAAGGGTTTCAAGTAAGGGAACAAAATACTGAAAACCCACCTTCATTAAACAGTGGTTATTTTTATATGATGGAGAAAATAGTAGATAACAGTTATTATAGAGTAAGCATTTCTCTTAAGGGAAATTCATGTTTTAAATCACATCAGGAAATATGTACACTTAGAAGCAGAACCTAATGGGTGAAGCTCATGACCAGTTCAGCCTATGATACGCTATGTGTGCTGAAAACAAGGATTTGTGGAGTCTTCCAGCACTTAAGACGCCAGGAAGGAACCACTGCCGGGGGAGCAAGTCCATACCCTTGTGTTGCAAGGACTTCCAAGACCTTGCTCCAGCCAGCCCCGGTCCCTTCCTCTGCTCTTCTCCCGGGTGTTCCGGTGCTCCGTGCTCAGCCATAGTTGTTTATATCTCATTTCTCAGGCCTCAGGTGGGTCACACCCTTGCGCCAGGGTATATAGCCCTTTCTGCCTATGACATCTGACAACTCCATCTTTAGAATCCACTTCTCTGCGAAGCTTTCTTGGATACTCACACATTATGTCAAATCCTTACACACACATGTACTCACATGCATAGATATACCTGCTTTATCATTGCTTTTCCCTCCTATGATACAGGATACATATCATAGCACTGTGATAAGAACAGATGACATAAATACTAGAAAGTATTTGACAAATCTTAGCAATCTTTATTAGAATGCTTACAATTAATAGGTTTCTGTTTGTTGAGCACCCTAATATGCATTTTGCTGGAAGACTTCCAAGTTCTGTCTGACTTAGTCCTCTCTAGTACCCAGGAAGGTCTGAGATTGTTCCTACTAATGAACCTGAGAATGAGAAATGCTCTACCCAGTGCCCCTCAACCCTGGCTCTGTTTTAGAATTTACTGGAAGCTGTCAAATCAATCAACGTTCAGGCTCCATCTGGGGCACACATGTCTATCTGTGTGTAAATGGAGTCAATGCAGTCCCTGGCCTTGGACCTCCCGCTCCTGTAGCTGCAGGCATCCAGTGACCTGGGGACGCAGTAGCTGGTGCAGGAGTCCCCCATGATACTCACAGGACTCCCGACATCACCCGGCTGTTACCTTGAGGCTTCTCCCTTAGTTACTTCCATAGCCTTTAAAGCCTGGGGATTTCAAGGTGCTCACACTTTTCTCCATTATACAGTTAATCACATGAGGGTCACATAAGGTAAAGCTTTCCTTCCTGAGCTGCTCTTAAAAGAGTATGAAGTGGGATCCAGCAAGACTGCTTCAGCTAGGGCAGGGAGGGTATTGGGAGTCATTGTTTCAGGGGTACAGAGTTTCTGTTTGGGATGATAGCAATTTCCTGGAAATGAATATTGCAAAGACATCATAAATGCCCTTAATGCTGCTGAATTATACACTTAAAAATGGTTGAAATGGGCTGGGCACGGTGGCTCAAGCCTGTAATCCCAGCACTTTGGGAGGCTGAGGTGGGCAGATTACAGGTTAGGAGATCGAGACCATCCTGGCCAACATGGTGAAACCCTGTTTCTGCTAAAAAAAAAGAAAAAAAAAATAGCCAGGCATGGTGGCGCACACCTGTAGTCCCTTTGACTCGGGAGGCTGAGGCAGGAGAATCGCTTGAACCCAGGAGGGAGAGGTTGCACTGAGCCAAGATCACGCCACTGCACTCCAGCCTGGGCGACGGAGCAAGGCTCCATCTTAAAAAAAAAAAAAGCTTGAAATAAAACATTACTGCAAGGGCTGCTGTGGTCTGAGGGGCAGCAGGAAGATAACTGCAAAAAGGAGCAAGGCCTGTATTTCACCCCCTGGACCTGTGAGCATTCCAAAGTCAGCACGTCTCTAGGTTCCATGCTTTCATTGATTCGCCGGATGGATGTCTTCCTTGTTGAAGACATCGCTAATTTTTAAGAAACTCTCATTCCAAAATCTGAGATTGACGCTTACCAAGGACAGAGTTCACTCATGCAAGGTCTGTTGACTTTATCCCTTAAAGCCTCTCCCATGACCTCTGAGCTAAGTGGAGCCTCATAATTTGCCTCCTGCACAAATATTAGTGATCTCTACCTAGGCTCTTTTCCTCAAACATCTTCTCCCTGGGATCTGTCTGACACTTTATGAAAAGCTCAATATTCTGAACACAAAGCTCTTTCTGTGAGAAGCTTCTTTAAAGTGAACCTTCAATGAATCTCCATTTTTTAATGAAATAAAGCTCAATATTTCAATTCAGAAATCAGAATATTCAAGTTTGTATAATAATTTAAGCTTCACATTGTTTAAAAATACATGTCTTTCTTTCTGTGTTTTTCT